CCCGGCTATTTTTTGGTTGCAGCCGTCATTGTTGTTTGGCGGATCCGGGCTGGGGATTCGAACCCGCCACCTTAGGTGTACGTGGCTGGCGCCCTAGCCGGTTGAGCCATAGGCGCCGAGCCCACACCTAATTTCTTAAAATGTTCTTTTAGAGATGGGGTCTGGCTATGTTGCTCAGACTGGTCTTGAACTCCTGGGCTCAAGCAATCCTCTCATCTCAGTCTCCGCAAATGGTGGGATTACAAGGGTGAGGCACCGTACCTGGCCAAAATATAATTCTTAAAAGTACTGTTTATACTGCTATGAGGTCTTAATACTATTTAAATATTTCTAGTAGAAATAAATAAAAGGGACTTCAATTTAAACATGATGGATTAAAATATACTTATTTACCTAGGCTTCCTCAAAAACCTACAAGGACAAAGAGAACTAAAGAGAATAGTAGATGATCTATCACCAAAATTCGTTGGATAAGTAAATGACAAAGTAGATTCAGAATGACAACAGCTAGTAAAAATAGCAAACACACACAGAGCTCTTATTATGGGATGTTAAGACTGACATGTATCCACATTTAATCTTGGTGTGGTGGCTCATGCCTGTAATCCTAGCACTCTGGGAGGCCGAGGTGGGAGCATACCTTAGGAATTCAAGACCAGCCTGTTTCTACTAAAAATAGGAATCTAGCTAGGGGGTCATAGCAGGCACCTATAGTCCCAGCTACTTGGGAGGCTGAGGTGGAAGGATTGACTGAACACAGGAGTTTGAGGTTGCTATGAGCTATGCTGAAGCCACAGCATTCTAACTTGAGCAACAGAGCAAGACACTGTCTTAAAAACAAAAATAAAACACATTTAATCGTCACAACAACCCCAAGCCATATCCCCATTTAACTGAAGTATATGAGAAATTATATAACCTGACCAATGTTACTCAGTCACTAAACTTATTGTAAAGAATCAATTTGAAACAATAACTGAAGGAAAACACTGAAATAGAGGCAAGGGGTACCTCTGAACACAGGAGTATAAGGTAGGGCTAAAAACAGGAGCAGTTGAAATTTTACACAAAGATAGTTAAGAGCCCAGATTTCCTCTCCTTTCCCAAACAGCTAGGTAGCTGTCCCTCCCTCACACTTAAATAAAATCCTTATGAGACCACTTTTTGGAGAGGCTGAATCACAGATTTCCCCTACTCTAAAGAGCAGCTAGAGTTGAGGTGAGATGCTATATTAAAAACAAAACTGAAATGAAAATCCTTATGCTGGAGATAAGTCTCTTTATTAATTTCCTTACTCTGCTCGGGTCTCAGAACAGTCACTGATATTTAAGGGTCTCATAATTAAAAGCCAAATTCCCCCTTATTACCCAATAAGCTAACAAGCCTCACCTGACACAGAGCTCTTAATAAATTCTTTGGTATCCCTCTATTTATTTTTTATAGTTGAAATTTGAATGCATTGCTCTTTGTGATAGAGAATGTATACTGTGGGAAATGATAGGGGTTAGAAAGGACTTACAGGATTTGATTTGTGTTGGATAATTTGGGGAAGAGCTCAAGGAAGTGGGGCTTTGCTCTGGATTAGAGGCTGTCAGGAAGTGGCATAATCCCATGCTCTCTACTGAAGAGAAAATATTAGCCAATGGTCACCATTACATTAAGCCTCTAAATTGAAACCCAAACAAACAAAAAAATAGGTTCTCAAAGGAAAAAAATGCAGGAAGCAGAAAAAAACTAAAATAAAACAGAACATTAATAGCTTTAGATAGATGAGAAGATATTATATCTATGAAACAAGAACTGAATATACCAAACATTTACAGAATAATAAAGGTCTGTTGAAAACTGAAAATTAAGCTGGTAAACACAAATTTACTTTAAGGATTAGAGAAAAAAATTAAGAACAATCCTAGAAGTTGGAATAAAAAAGTGACAATAAAATAGTAAGTAGGAGAAAAGATAAGAAAATTGGAGGATCACTCCAGGAGGCCTAGCATCCAAACATCAGGAGTTCCCTACCTTATTGCACAAAATGAAAAAAATAGTAGAGAAAATAATGGAAGGGAGAAAATTATTAAAGAATGACTTAAAGAAAATATTCTAGAACTCAATAAAGGACATGTGTTTCTACATTGAGTGTTAGTGCGTATCTCTTATCTAGGTCAATGATAAAAGAAAAAAGAAGAAAAAAAGACAGACATTACTACATTTTTATATTACTTAAAATATCAAAACAGGGGGCAGGGCTCGGCGCCTATAGCTCAACCGGCTAAGGCGCCAGCCACGTACACCTAAGGTGGCGGGTTCGAATCCCCAGCCC